ATATATATATTTAGTACTTGAAACCTGTACGTTTATAAGTGGATATTTTAATTAAAATGAAAATTTGTGATAAGAAAATAAAATCTAATTAATATTATGCTATAAATATTATAAATTATAATGTATACTTAATGGTAAACTTGCTAATTGCTACATTATAGTAGGTACCTATACTTAATATTTAGAAAATAACCGAGTGAGATTTTAATTACATTTTTTTTTAACTTTGAACTTTAATTTGATTGCTGTGTTTGGTTAATCTGATTAATATCAAATTTTAATATTGGTCGTTTTCACTAACGATAATTGCAATTATATTTTGTTATCTCTCACATAGTTATTGATTTTTTTACGCCGTCTTCCTTGTTAATTTGGTTTCTGCTAGTGACAAATCACTCAGATTTTTAGTAATAATTAATTGCTCGTTTTTTATGCTGTACACAAATTCTGCAGCATGCACCACCAAGAAGGGCGATGGTTATGAAGTGATGGAAAAGTTGATTCGGTGGATAGGGTGGAAGTTCACAGTGTTTTTTCTGGCTTTGTTTCTATACCACTGCTTGAAGCTCGTGAATCTCCAGTCCATTTCTACTCCTATCCTGCTAGTCCATTGACGTGCGGTATGTGTCAACACGAAAAAGCAATTACCGTGGTAATCTGTCAGTGCAGCCGCGCGAATAGGACGGAGTGTCACTGTTATTCGCCGTAATTCGAAGTACCCTAATCCTTAATTTCTTCGTTTATTTCGGACGCGTGTATAGTGTTAATTTTTTTTAAAGTCAAAATTATTTTTGTACTATTTAGTGTTTTCAACCAATTTTTTTTTTAATCTTTCCGTTCTAATATATGTGTTATATAATATATATATATATTAATATGTTTATATTTAATCATATAATATCATGATTTTTCTCTAGATGATTTTTTTTTATACCAACTCATTTGGTTACGTGGTTTGTGTATGATTTCATCAAAGGTTTTATTAGATTTTGCCTATATAATTATTTATTTTAAACATTATAAAACTGTAGATCTACTACTGTACACAGTATTAATTTATTTAATATAGATAGGTACCCACGCGTTATTTGTATTGATTTATTTAAAAAATGTTTATAATTTTAATATTATATTAATATGATATATATTATATATATGATTAAATATTTTTATAGTTAAGTTGTCTATGTGTGTATTTCAATAACACTTGAGGTCATATATAGTTATGGTTACATTGCAATGTAATTTTCGATAATTGATAACTATTTACGTTTTTCATTATTTGGACTAAAATACTGATTCTTTGTCATAAATAGTTAACATAGCAAATGTCATATCATAAGTTATCGTAAAATCTAAAAAAATTTTTAATATATTATTATTTGAGTAGACAGTGTACGGGAATACAGTGTACGTGTCTTATATTATATTTATCACGGAAATGTACGATGTGGCCGTACGCAATTTGAGTTCTTGAAATACGAAACGAAAATGCTGTTTTTGACGTTATCCGTTGTTTCATTATATTTGAGTGTAGACGAGTTGTATCCACTCAAATGTTTTTTTTCTGCAGAAAATGATATTCTCGAATATTTTGACTTTTGAGCCCTAGGGAGTATTCTCTAAAGTGTTTTACAAATACGATATTAACACATGCTCTTTGCTCATTATGTCTTTAATGGTGCAGAAAAAAAAATATTAAATCATTTTAATGCCTAGTATACTTATCATTAATTAATAACTGTACTTATATACCTACGACTTTGATCGACAACAATTTCACGTTCAATTATAAACTGCATTTCTAATATATATTTTGTTTTTGTTTTTCAGGTAAGTTTCATGTTTGTATGTAATACAGCTTGAGTTGTTTGCGTAAACAAGGTAGAAGTATTAAAATATAAATTTTTTTTTCAGTAAAATACGTAGATAGTTTAAAATATTTAGTGTTTAGCTTATTTAATATTCATTTTTAATTTAAATCCGTTTTCAAAGCATAATAATTTGGATAAAAGTAAAAATTCGTCATTGTTTGCCCAGGAACCAAAGACCAGGCTCGTATTATAACTTTCGTTTTATTTTAGATTATATACGATTAAATTGTTTTTAGGATAATGACTACTGTTAATTGTTTTATAAAAAATATTTTTGCATCCTTATACTTTTTGAGTGGTTAAAAAGGGTTGACCTATATTTGAACCATATGTTTTTTTATACTATGGAATCTTGGTATAGAATTTTTAAACTATTTGCTAGACTGTTTTTTAGCTTATATTTAAAATATTTCGAGTTCTGACAACTTCAGAGAATTTTTTTATTTAGTTGGGTATTTGATATGCTTTTGTTTCCTTATTAAATATTTTAATACTTTTTCTACTTCAGAATACACATTTTGTAATTCTGTTTAGTGTTTAGATGTTTAGGGAATAACTAAAATATATGTTTTTCCATACTGTTATATTATTATGTAACATATATCAATATTTGAAATTTATTACAAACAACGGTAGGCGCTTGCCTGGGATAACTCATAATAAACTCATAATAAATATTAAAAAGTCGTAGTTGGTATATTACAAAAATAAAAACAAAAATGAAAATTTGGTGATTGTAGCAATAAGTAACCATTATTATCCTAGTGGAAGTTGTCCAGAATATAATATGTCCAAAATGTCCAAAATATATCGATTAAACTGTATAATATGCGTATACCTACTTATTATTTCTTAACCATTAAATATCAAAACATTTACTCAGTGTACTGTAATTAGTAATTACTATTTACTATCTTATTATATATAGACAATAATCAAATAAACAATTAATTTATATTTTTAACACGCACTCCTTAGGTATAGTATATTAAGATGAAATCTAAAGGATTTGAAATTTAAAAGCATTTCGGTGATGTCCTGCACTTCCTCTGGCCATATTACAGTCCATGCGTAAAATGAGACATCCTAAGTGGTATACAAAACACCGCCTTGTGCATGACATATAATCGGATTTATACATTATAGAACGCGCAGACTTACGACCGTGTAACGATTTCATACTCTTTCTATGTTTTTCTTCTTTTCATTTGCTTCTTATCTCTCTCAATCTTAAATAATAGTAGATTATACTTTTGATAGCATTATTAACTTTTGTTCGAAAATCTCCTGTGAGTATACAATTCTCAGTTTATCTACTCGATAATTCTTTTGCTATAAACCTTAGTTTTGTAATGTATAATATTCAACCTAGTATACATTTTATGATAAATGTATATATATATTTTTAAATATTTTTCAAACATTACTTAAAAGTGTAACTTGTTTTATCCTTTAAATTTCCCAGAGTTATTTTTTTTTGGTGGTGTAATTTCTCGTCTGTGTTGTTTAAGTAGGTGCCTCAAATTACTTTAGACACATGATATGTATTGTGCTTTATGTAGGTACCTACGAGTCTTACTGCAAATATAAAATATGAACTTTAAATGTATTACTTTATTACAATATGGTCGTTTTGCTTTAAATTTTGAAATTAATGACTTACGAATGCAATAAAACTATCATTATTATAACAAGATAATATTATATCCTACTTGTTTTAAACATATCTACTGTTTCTGTAAACATGAGCTCAACATTTTTCGTTGTAAAATTTCAATGACAAATATTAAAGTTTGATATTTTTTGTGAAAGCGTTTTGTATTAACTTGTGTTGATTCTTTTATCACTAATTTTGTTTTAAAACACTTTACGTTCCAAATTTAATATCAAAATGTATTACTAATTTTAATAAATATTATTGTTTTATACATCTTGATATTTATACTTATATACCTACCTATTATATAAGGTTTCTGTGATTATCCTACAGCAGCGGTTCTCAACCTTTTTATATCTGCGTACCACCTACCTACATAGTTTGAAAATACTCATGTACTACTTGACTAAATGTCCTTTTTTTACTTATCAAAAATGATATATACGTTATTTTACAATCGATCGAATTTTATTTTATTAGAAATCACAAAATTATGACAAAATAAGCAGTTAATACTCAAAAATAAAATGTTATATGTCCAATTATTAAGTACTTAAATTATTATTAATATCAAATAAATGAAATAGTGTACCTATATGTATATATAGTTTTTTTATAAAGGGAGATTTCCGATTTTCTTCACGTACCACCTATGAGCTTTTCGCGTACCACAGGTTGAAAAACGCTGTCCTATAGTATAGTACATATTATATAATTTCAATAAACCTACTAACTTTAAGCTCTATTAATTATTATAAAAATTACACTTAAGGAAAAAATATCTAACGATTAGTTGTTTAAGAGACAATTTCTAATATCGGATTCGTTTGATTTTTAATTTGATCATCAGTTATACTATTTAACTAAATTCTGTATTAGTTTTTAGTTTAAACTTTAAATATTATCATAGAGATTAGTCTATAATATAGACTATACTATATCGACTCTATATAGTATCCTCAAACCAAATTTTTTGTCTTGTTTAGAAAAAAAAAACACTTTTGATTCATTCATACGTGTACACACACACAAAAGGGGACTAACAAAAACTCTGTTTTACTTACCAAGAATCTCGGCGTAAGCGGATGTGTGACAAATGATAAACACTTTATAGCATCAGTCAGAACTCACGTCGTAATATCACGAGCTGAGGGTTTGGTGGATTTTCTATTGTACCGAAACATACTGCGATGCTGGTTTGTTGTGTGAATTAAATGCCATTCGCGGTTGTTGTGCAGTATAAGGAGAGAGAGTGCAGGCGACGGAGCAAGACGAACTAGTCGGGACGAGTTAGGAAGAGAAACGAGCGTAACTCATATTATTATAATAAGATTCCTCCGGGGATAAAGCAACCGACCGACGGAAATCTCATCCGCCGTTTCCATAAATAATTTATTATTTTGGATATACACGGCGGCGGTGGTGGCCAGAAATATGGCATAACGTTGGCGGTTATAAATCATTTTAAAATGTCGCTGCGAAGCCAAAACGGAAAACCGTTATCAAATATTTGTACAGCAGAGAGAGATAGAGAAAGAGGACAGTGCCGTAGTTGTGTATATCGTTACTCGGGTGTGGTTAGGATGAAGGGTGTTGTGGTGTGGAGCGAAGGGAAAGAAAGGGATGTTTGCATTGGAGACGTGCCCACAACGATGGATAATATTAGGGGAAATTAAATATTTGGTATGGCCTGTAATCCGATACAATAAGGTAAGGTAGATACTGGCAAAAACTGGAGTTTCGTTCATTGTTTGTGTATATTTTATACTCATTGCTACTTAAACTTAATGCTTGACACCATCTAGATAGAACATTATCATTGTTCGCAACATGTTTATTATTTTAATGGTATTCGAGTTTGGATTATTAAAGAAAAAAAATGTTATTAAAAGTGTGTATATAATGCTTGCGTATCGAGTTATATTTCATATACTCTAAGTATCATTCTAGGTTTTATAAATATATAATAATACGTATGTATTATCAGGGGGGTGGGTGCAGTATTCTATATAGTTAATTGTAGTCTGTAAATAATATAAGCATGCAAATTGCTAGGTGATGTTAAAAAAAAAAACTAATTTAGAATTATCTCGTGAGTGATTTGTATGTACCAGGAACTTATGCTTTTTTTTTTTTTTGGTAGCAATTAACATTATTCATTTTTGCCAATCATAACATTTGCATTCTCATCCCTTCTTTTGTATATTTTGAAGATAATTAATTTGATAATTTATATCCTAAGATAAAAATTAAAAACGGAATATGATTTGCATAATATATTATTAGGTACCTACCTACTTACTTATAATAGAGTTAATATAGGTATACTTATATAATTTAATTATTTATAACTTTGGTAGTATCTTTTTTTAAGATTGGCTTGAATAAGATCATTGACTAAAAGCTGAAACAAATAAAATTCGTTTTTGATAATGACATCGTTTAGGTAAATAGATTGGCACCGAATTTTGGCAGCCGTTTTGTTTATTTTCATTATTATTATTTTTTTATTTTAAAGACCAAATTTTCGCCAACAACACCCATTTATGATGTCCCCTTCTATTGAACGCTATGGATTTGAGCCAGACTTTTCCGCTGTGTATGATTCCTCTTAGGGACCTTTATGGCCGTATTGGGTAAATAATAATAGTACAAATTGACAGGACTCGGTACTCAGATATCACATGCAATGTATTCAGTATTTAACTAATTATAAATAGTTATACAAGTGTGTTGGTATAAAAGTTTTTGAAAATCTCAATATAACCAATTTTAATCATCTACGAATATAACGCGGTCTACCGATCAGACAGAATAGAAATAAAAAAACCAAGATAATTACATAGAAACTAAATATGAGATAAAAGACAACTATTGGGTCCGTTTGAAAACAAAGCTAAGCGATTTCACAACGATAAAAAGCCACTGCGAACAACGTCCGGAGAATTGGTGGGCCGACAAATAAATAAAATATAAATAAATCTCGGGGCGACAATAAAGTAATACTGGGATGAGGATAAGAAGAGAGACAGAGAGAGAGAAGCGATATCCTCTCCCCCGAGAATATCCGGGCGCCATTAACCCTCTACCCCTCTGTCCATAAGCCAGCTTTCTACGAATTCCTCGTCCTCAGCCAAATTGCCCGGTCCATTTTGCGCAGCTCGCCGCCTAAAAACGTTTTTTTTTTACTCTCCTTTGCATATACTTTTAAGACGCCATCTTCAGCCCTTCAAAGCGCTTATAGAACTGAAAGTTTTACGAGTTAATGAGTACAGTAGAGTGCTTTGACATTGGACCAAAGTAAAAAAAAAAATAATAATACTAGTGAGTGCGAACCCTAGCCGTGTCAAAATAATAATAATAATGAAAACAGTTTGCGCTTACCATCCTAGAATTTTTTTTACGTTCATCTTAATTAGTACACTTAGTATTATATAAGTTATAATTTATCACATATACTTTATTCAAGATTTCGTCGGATACGAGTTTATAGTTGCTGCGTGAGGGGTTTTTAAATTCACATCGTTTGTTGTCTGGTAATAATCTAGATTCTAAACTTTCTGAACACGGTGTTATTTTTTGTTTGCATTTTAACTTACGAAATGATTCGGTGTCTTAGTTATAACGAGTCGAAAATAATGTTCTCACAATTCTCATAGTATTTACCTACATACGAAATGTGTTTCTTGGCAAGCATTATAACAATAAAATAGAATATTTAATTTATTAAACTGTTACGAATTCTGTTTTTCACAATGCATAAAGAACCAAACACTATATTTATGGAGGTACATATAGCCACCTAGGTAGGTAAAATATAGTCAACAATTAATTAAAATAACTCCACATAAAATGTCATCAATATGACGAATATTAAATTAACTTGTATTATGGTACAATATCGTGTATAAAATTGTTACTCAATTAATGGATGGCAAATTGTGTTGACGTCCGGTATGTAGGTCATATTCCGATGATTCCGACAAATTCCTATTAATATGGAAATTGTCATAATTAGAGGGGACATTTTGTATTAATAATAAGTAAATTAGTATTGTGATGGTTACAATTAAGCATATCAATAAATTGTAAAAAAATATCTTTATTTCTTTTTATGTATAATTTGTATTGCCCAATAATGCTTGGATATTGATGAAATTACACAAAATTTAAGATATTCCACCGTTATGTCGAACATACCACCCATGATGTACACCTGGACATTATTAACAAAGGACATGGAAATTTCCCGTAATGTAAATACGTATATTATTCCGTTATGATATGATACAGGCTTTCGATGGTTAGAAATATTGAAAATTATCTGTACAACATAAATTTTACATCGTCATAATACATACATTTATCTGATAATTTTGTTTCTAAACCCTCGACTAAAAATGGTTTTCGTGATATTGTAAAAGATTTTCTTTGAATTAAAATTATAAAAATATTTCTTGTAACATGTAAAATATGTTTGTTTGCTTTGTCTTGTCTTTATTTCTGGGATTAAATATAATAATAATATCGTATATTGTTTGCGATCCTGCGACGACTCCTATAGGGAAAGCGCTGCAACCACTGATAAGCAACCGTTTTGCATTAGACACTTCCTGTTTTACCACGGATTACGGCTCTCCCTCTTCCATCAGTCTTTGCCATGCTGTTTACCAGACATAGTAAACTTTTATGGCTTCTGAAATGGTTTCATTCCCTACCCTAAAAAATTAAATTACCATGCAATTATCTTTTTCTGGGGAACGTAAGTAATAGTCAACAAACGGTTGATTGAAATTATTGTTGCCGATTGATGTATATCATGGAATCGTATTAGAAATAAATTCTACATGTTTACTATCGTTTTAATTTTCTAGCAAAAAATGTTTATATTAATATTGGTTTTAATTTGACTAGAGACATTATTATAATAACCACAATCCACACCTGATACCTAATATCAATAAATTACGTAGCTAGAAACAGAATGTTGCACTAAATTAATATATAATAATATTATACTGGAACACTATACCGCGCGTCTACAATATTACGAAGACTCATATATGGATAACAAAAAAAAATTTATAGGTACTATAGAGAAATTGGTTAAATAGAATTAAAAACATTTTTTCTTATTTGGTTTGGTTTTCAAAAATATTTCGGTAAACATAAAATGTTGTTTAATGGAAGTTTGTTATATGGAAGTTTCGCTATACCAGATACCTAATTGTTTTTATAAAACATCAAAACATTTATATAAAGGAAAAAAAAATAAACACTATTGTTAAACCTCTATAGCTTCCTCGATCCGCTCAGAATCTAAAATATAGCGGTACGGTGTTTTAGTTAGGTATATATTATATAGGATTATAATATGTTCAATTAATGATTACCAGGTGGTTAGATTATGCTCGTGTATTTCTTAAAATATAAATTCTATATTTCATTATAGTTAACCATTAGGTATATATTTAAAAATGATTATTAATGAAATATTTTGTAGTTAATAAACAAAAGTTTTCATTTTTGTTTGTTTGTTCGCGTATGGATATATATTGAATATTGTAGTATGATAAGTTTTAATATTATTATTAACTCTAATACATTTATTTTTATTGAGTACAATTTTTCTTGATTGATGTACAATTTCATAAATCTTTCGAAGATACATAATATTATTAAAGACTATTTGAAATTGAAATTTGTTACCAAATTGTCTTTGTAATAAATGGTCAAATTTAAAACTCATGTTTCATAAGTATACCTACATTTTATACTGCACAATTTTCTTATATATAAAATACCCTATTTCAATTCCTAAATTGTTTTATATTTAAAAGAAAACCCTCAAATTAAATTATATTTATTGTGTAAGAAATATTTATTACAGTTTCTGTTTCTTAACATCAGTTAATTGTTTGTCATAAATATTTAAAACCATCGAAGTCGCTCTGCTGTATAGTAATTAGGAGCTATGTCGAGTATAACACATTGTTTGTGTAATTTTCCTATCAAAATTAAACTTTGTATTAAATGTTGCAAAAAAAAAAAATATCCATCAATTTTTGTCATCCCACCTAAGATAATATTATGTCATATGTTTTCTTTCTCGTAAAAATACAGTTCACATTGTGTTCGTTGACAATGATGGTTTCAAGTAGAATGTAACGTACGAGTACTTACAAGATAAACAATTATCGTGTTTGTTGTGTTGTGCCTGATATGGTTTAAACTAGATTACTTTGTTGTGTGTCTGAAAGCTAATTACATTAATTGCATACGGTTATTAATCTACGTGTGTGTGAGAGGAAGCTAATCAAATTATACAATGGGATACGTCTGGGTTGAACCTGGTAGGTGGGTAAATAAAAATCCATAAAAGGTAGCATTAGCTAATTCACTCACCGCGGAATTGTTGGTACGTGGTTATGGGAAACGAGTGACTCTAATGTAGTGGTCAGTCAGTATTATAGATTCGAAATTAAAGTATTACATTCTATTTTATTTGATCATGTTTAGTTAAATGAATTATATTTTATAATATGCAGTTAGGTACCTATGATTGTATTATTAATTTTAGTGTATATTTGTTCTTATTTTTTAAGTTCCGAGGTAAATGCAAATTATTAAAATTGTAACAATTGTTCAGTGTCTTATGATAAATCTTGATTCTGTG